CAAGTATATAATCAATATATTATTATCATACAGTCATGATGCTATATAAGAGATCTCTAGAACTTATCCTAAGACTAAAACTGACTGAACCCATCTAACTGAAACTCTGTCCACATAGTCCAACATCTTTCCATTCTCTAATCCCTGGTATTCTTTATGATAGTCTAAAAAGCCTCTGTCAACCACTCAGTGAAAACATTTTCAAACACCCACCTGAGCATATATATTTTATTTACTTATAAACTGATGTATATATACTATCACAAATTTTACATATTTATATAATCAGAATTTTTTAAAGGGAAAAACTTAAAAATAAATGTTTATATTACTTATTTTAGAATTTCTAGTATTTTTTTTTTCCGCATCTCCTTGGAGTATGATAATCACACTTTGGTGACCACTGGTCTGACTGGCTGAAAGAAGTCCATTAAAAAAAAAAAAAAAAAATACCTATTCTAAGTTTTCATCACCATTAGTTAAACTTCAACAAACATTCTCCCCTATTAAAGTCCATCTGTCGACTTCTTTCTCTCTCTCTTTCTCTCTCTCTCTCTCTCTCTTTCTGTTTGCGTTGTTGGAGTTCCAATCCACGACCTTGAGCTGTCACTGCTCTACCACTGAGCTATACCCTTAACTCAACGAGGCAGCTCTCAAAGTTGTCTGACATTCACTAATTCATGAACTTGAAGGCCAAACCACAGTTTCAGGAGCAACAAAATCATTTTTTTTTTTTTAAAACTGGTAAGATCTGAGCCTAACCAAAGCAAATCTCTATGTGCACATTTTGTGTTTGCATGTTATTCTCTAACAAGAAAGGATTTTCATGAGAAAATTAATGTAAAATGTAGTAGACACCTTACTGATTTTGATCAATTTCTATGCCATGTGGTTAATATCACTTAATGTCTTCATTCAAATGAATATGTTTCAAAGAACTATCAAAAAGCCTAAAGATTAATCAAGCATATTTTCTTTTACTCTGATAGACCAAAAACAATAGAGATAACAAGTTTATATATTTCACTCCGCTTTCACTAAACAACTTAGGAAAACAGAACTCTTCCCGAGTACAAATAATACACTAGGCACTGTCTTGATAAAACCTTACAGTTTCTAAGGAATTTCAGCATCAAAGCCAAAGATCCAACCATTGCTTTGAATTTGTTGTACAACAGCATCACCAGGTGGTGGTTTACGTAACCTGTGTTTGAGCTTCTTCAGCAATAAGGAACTTAGTCTACTGCATTTTCTGACACTTCTGATTATCTGAAATAAACTAAACTAGAAATTTTTGTCTAGTAATGATTTTATCTACTGACTATTTTTATTCTTGAGGGCCATGTAGAACAAACTTAATAACTCTTCTAATTAATAACCCTTCAAATATTAAAGTAATTACCAGAAATTTCAACTATTCTCTTCAATCTAAATGTACAAATTTAACCCAGCTACTGCTTATGTATAGTATTAAAATTTTTCTAATTTCCTCCCAAGAAGAAATTCAAACATAAGAATCTAATATTTAAAGTTATAGTAAATCACACAACTACACACATTCTCAATTGTAAACAATTTAAATACAGACCTGTGTTTTAATACTGCTGAATGTCTTGAGCAAACTTATTCACAAATAAGTCTATAGGAAGGTAACTTACTAATATTAGCATAAGTTCATTTGATATTTTAACAAATATTTTCCATATATTAAATACCTCAAATAGTGCTTTTCATTTTTTAATTATAGAACAAATGACCACTTAAAAATTAAACAATCCATCATTATTTTAAAAAGGGAACTAAATCTTTTTAATAACACAATTTCTAAAAATCCTAGGAAATTAACCATAAGATGTCAGGCTTGCAGTGAGCTTGCACACGTAAATATGCCATGTGAATATACACACAGTTGTGCTAAAGAATAAAACTATTACTGATGTTTCCTATAAATGGCCTTTGGCTGACAATGAATGATTGAAGAAACTATTTTTAACAAAGGAGTTTCTATTTTGCAATAGTACCAACCAAATAACCAACAGATTATATTTACGTTTAGGTAATATTTCACAGTAAAAGATCTTTAGATATTCGTCTATTATTAAGTTTGGTAGAAGCTAGTGTATATTCCTATATTCCTCTTCAGTATAGCCAGTTTCAGACATTCCCTATCAAGAAAATGAATGCAACCAGTACTAGACAAAGAAAGGACAATTTCAATTTAACTAATTCAGTTAATATTTGAGTATTACTTGAATAATCACTCAAGCAACACTTAAGCGTTTTAGAAACTTAAAATGCAATTTAAATAACTTGTCAGTATTATATGCCAATAAGTCATATAATAAGGTTTTCCCTGAAAAAGTAATGAAAAATTAAATGCTACTATATATTCTGATCTACTAAAAATAGGGTTACTTTTGTAGTAAATATGCTTCAGTTAATTTTCTTAAATGGTCAAGCCATTAAAATGACAATGCATTTGCAAGAAGCATTATAATATTTTTATTAGGCTCGATGTGAGCAAGACTTGTTACTTATGAAAGAAAGTTAGAGATACAGTCTCAGATTTTGAGAGTTTTGCATATTATAAGTAGATAATAATTAGTTCATTTAGAAAAAGGGGAATAATTTTTATTGAGCTGACCAGGATTTCCATTTCCTGATACACCTCAGCTTCTTGGTTAACTCCAGGCAACTTACTATCTGGTTACTTATTATCTGGTTCAGATTTCAGCTATACTGCTATTTATCTGGAAGATATTCTGCATAAACAAACATTTTGGATAATTCATGCTTATATAATTATATGACAAACTATTTTACATTACAGTTACTTTATAGATATTTTTCTAAAGATCTTAGCTTCATGCTTTCTTAAAACTATGTTGAAACTTAACATTTTCTACAGATTAGTCACAATGTGAGCATGAATTGTGCAGTGGTACTGTTAACACTTGGATCTTATGTCTTCCATCTCTACTTGATGCCAGCAGTGCATTTGTGATTGCTAATGCCTTAGGTGAGAACCTTAGTAGAGTCTGCAGGCTTTTGTAAGCATAAAAGGCCTAGACTTTGTGCCATCTGGCTACTCTGAAATCTTTTCCTTTCTCCTTGTACCTCCATGGTTGATTTTCCAATAATTAAATTTACCAAAGAAAATCACAGCAAAATAGGCTGTTGGCAGTAGGAAGGTAGTTCTGAAGAACTCTGGATACCCGAGCACAGAAGCAGAAAAACACCTTCCCTTAGAAGGAAGCCTGGCTAACTTGTACAATGAAGTTTCCATCCCTCCCCATAGAAAATTGGAATCAACCTGTTGTTTTTAGCTTTTTCTGTCCTGTATGTGACGTTTTTCTCTCCCCAGATGATCTAATAGCATATTTTGCATACTGCCAGCTCATTTGATACAAAGAGGTTTAGAAAGGAAGAAAAGAAATAATAGTAGTATAGTCAAAGTATACATGAAGTATAAGAGGGTGACTGTGATGACATTAGATGAAAATAATAAGTTTGACATGTATTTACATATGATAAATGCCAATAAAACTATAAATCTGAGTTTATTCTGTGGGGGTACTTAAGATAAAGATAAATTGTGTCTATTTATAAGGCTAACAAAAGAGGACTTTTGAAAAGCACTGAGAATTTCAAAACCATCAGAAACATTAATAAATCTCTCTGCATATAAATTAGAATTATAGAAAAATCTAAATCTCGTTTTCACTACAAATAAAATGAACAAATTGATTCAATTAATTATCCAATTGTTTTCACTTTGTTAATTTACCATTAGTAATAGACCAGTTTTGGCTTTTTGTTTTTCTTTTTTTTTTTTTTAGTTTTTTACTGGTTTGGTACTGGGGATTCAACCCAGGGGCACTTTGCTACTGAGCTATATGACTCTAGCCCTTTTGATTTTGAGACAGGGTTTCACTAAATTATGTAGGGAGGGCCTCACAAAATTACTAAGGTTGGCCTCAAACTTGTGATCCTCCTGCCTCAGCCTCCCCACTAGCTGACATTATAGGCATGTGCCACTATGCCCAGATGTGACAAGTTAAAAAAAAAAAAAAAAAATACTGATGGCCTATTTCTCTTTACCAAAGAAGTCCCTGTGACTCAAATTTTATACAAACCATTCTAAGTCATTCAAGATAACAGATAATTTGCTGGGCAGAGTACTGCATGCCTATAATCCAGCCTACTATAGAAGCTGAGGAAAAAAGATCTTAAGTTGAAGCCCAGCCTAGAAAACTTAGCAAGATCCTTCCTTGAAATAAAAAGTAGAAAGGGGTGGGGATGTAGGTTCAGTAGCAGAATGTCTCTGGATTCAATCTTCAGTAGCTTTAAAAAAAAGAGAGAGAGAGATAATCCAATCCCCTTGATTGAAATATTCTCACTTCTTTGATTTCACAAGAAAAATGAAAATTATTAGGTGGTATTTGTGTAACTACTAAAAACTTATTTTACTTTCAATTTTTCCTAGTGACATTTTCCAAAAAGACATTTTAAAGATTAACTGTATTAATCTATGAGGTTTAAATAAATTAAAATCTCTTTATTTATACTACCTGGTTACCTAAAAAACTATCAATTTAAAGAAAACACTTTCTTCTTTAAGAGTAAATAAGCACAAAATATCTGAGGGGGAAATTTTATCCTATAAACTTATCATATTTTTTTCTGTATACAACTCAAAGCTACTCACTAAATGTATCCCCATAGTCTCATACCTGAGAATACATAATAAAAATTACTGAATTAAAACTACTCAAGATGACAATATCTTTCTGATGGCATCTCTACACAACTACATGAAACTAAAGTATAACCTGATACTCTAATAACTAAAGGAACCACAAAACAAAGAAAATTCTTTCTTCTTTTGATCCTCAACCAAATAAATTACTCTGTTCTCCTATCTGTAAAATGGGACAAGTTGGAACAGTGCAAATTCATTATCAGAAAAAATTAAACAAAAAGTAAGTACTGAATCATACCTTGTTTTAATTCCAAACCTTCAGATTGTTTGTTCTCTCTCAGAGACGAAGCAGAATCTATACAGGTGTCCTGTCTGAGAAATGAACATAAATAAGAATTTTTAAAGTATATTCAATTGAATATTTACGGTCCAAGTTCTTAGAATTAAGTTAGGCACAAAGAAAGATATAATGAATCCTTCTAAGCCCCAAGGTAACGTTTAGTACACTCCAAAGACTCAAAAACATGTACACTAGTGTCAAAAGGAGCAGCTACAAACAACTACCAAGTTAAGCAGTATATTTCTTTGTAAAATCAAAGTGCACACCTAGAAAGAACATGGAGGTAATTTTTTCTGCCTTCCAATACTCTCCAGGATAGCTGATGGGAGAAATCACAACTCACAGCAGTATCCAATAATTTTTTAAGTTCCACTGTTAAATTTAATGGACATTTTGGAACTCAAATTACTTTATATTCATCTAATTTCATACCTCAAATGCTTTGATGTCTACAGTATGTAGAAAATGCATAATTTATATGTAATGTACATATGTAATCAAAGTAAATGGATTAAATATAAAATCATGCAAAAAAGTTTCATTTCACTATGTTCTGTAATAGAGCTGCAAATTAAATTGATACTTTTCTTATGACAGCATTATACTATCTAATATTGATGCTACAAATACTTTTTGACAAAATAGAAAATCAAAAAACTGTAAATATTTAAATGAAATAAATGTATATCTTACTCAAAATATGTAGCCATTGCCTTTGGAAAATTTTTATATATACCTTAAGGTTAACATATTAAAATATTTAGAAAATTTCCTTAGTCACAAAACTATTTCTATCTAGTTAGCAGCACCAAATCCCTCAAAATAAGGATTAAAAAAGACGTATGATAAGTTCTTTGAAAGGTTTATATTCTTTCTACTCAACATATTTGGCATGCATTTGTTTATTTTATAGTAAAACTTCACTAATACAAGTATGAATTCAAACAAAAAAATTATTTGGTTTTGGTATTAATTGTGACATCTATGATTTATAATTGTCATGTCTCCATTTTTATGCTTCTTTATTGTCTAATATCACCTACTCAGATTTTATTTTTTTCACCAAATAATAGGGAGATCCCAGATAAGATCTCAACAATTTTTCTTGAAAATCCAGGGACAAAATAAAGAACTTTGGAAGGAAAGTTAAAATATGCTACCTCAAGCCTTTAATCAAATTAGATATTACCTACTGAGAACATCTAAGTAGTTCCCCTTAGAGAAAATATTTGTTTGCTTTATACATCCTTGAATGGCACTTAATTCTTTATGTATATACATATATCTAAATTTATAAAAATGTACACATGTACCAAAATATCATGATACCCCATTAATATTAATTAATATTAATTAATAAGAATTCATACCCCATTTGAATCAAATGTATGATAAATGATGTCAAGATCATTGTAATGTTTTGACCAACTAATAAAAAAATACGTATAATTTTGCATTTTATGTATCAGTTCAAATAAATTTAATTAAAATAAATAAATTTATAAAAATTACTTAAACAAAATATAACATAATCAATAAGAGGAAGATGGACATATGTAACATAAAGCTATGTATTCTGAGAATGTGTAATCTATATTATAAGGTACCATCAGACAAACCCAAAATGGAAATAAGCAGTATTCTTTTTTTTTGTTGTTTTTTTTTATTGGTTGTTCAAAACATTACAAAGCTCTTGACATATCATATTTCATACATTATATTCAAGTGGGTTATGAACTCCCATTTTTACCCCAAATACAGATTGCAGAATCACATCGGTTACACATCAATAAGCAGTATTCTAATAAGAAAAGTTCAATGTCAATGTTATGAAAGACAAACAGCTGTGGAAATATTCCAGGTTAAAGGAGGCCAAACAGTCATGAAAACTGAACGTTATAACTGATTTGAGACCACAGAACTGGAGGGGAAAATGTTATAAAAGATATTTCAGAATCAAAAGACAAACTCAAATACTGACAGCAGATTGGACAAAAGGATTTAATCAATGTTAAATTTCCCAAAGTTGATACTTGTTGTGGTTACACCACAGAATACTGCTATCCTTTGGAAAAACACAATGTAATATTTAGGGGCAAAGTGCCAATGATGTATTTAACTTAGCCTCAAATGTTTCACAAACAACAACAATAAAACTTGCATATGTAATTGTGTATGCAAAAGGGATAAAATGTTAATAGGTAAATACAGATAATGGTTATAAGGATGATTCTTACAGCAGTATTATTCTTGCAACACTTTAGTAAGTTTGAAATTATTTTCAAATAATTTAGGCAATAAGAATGCAATAAAAGCCGGGCACAGTACCCATACCTGTAATCCCAGCAGCTTGGGAGACTGAGGCAGATCACAAATTCAAAGTGAGCCTCAGCAACAGCAAGGAACTAAGCAACTCAGTGAGACCCTGTCTCTAAATAAAACACAAAATAGGGCTGGGGAATGTGGCTCAGTGGTTGAGTGGCCCTGAGTTCAATCCCCGATAAAAAAAAGAAAAGAAAAAATGTAATAAAAACTGTCAGTGTCCCTTAAACATCCCCCCAATAAAATTAGATTCCTCTATAAAGATTATCTTGTCATAAACTATTTATTTGCATGTTCAACATGAACTTATATAAAATTTTATCTTGGATTTAATCAGGTTATTGAAGCCACCAAGAGAATTTCAGACAGTAGGTATACTACACCACCCTGTGGCAGAAAAATGAAAAGCTACATGCTTTTATACCAGTAGTATCTGGGATGGGTGTGGGGGAACAAGAAAGAAAAAAAAAAACCCAGAAACAGTTTTCAATAAAGTTAAAAATATTAACTAATTTTTCTAAGATATAGACTTTACTCTTAAAATTATATGATTAAAGTTCTCTAATATAATGTAACTGTCTCCATGAGATAGCATGAAAGGCAAGATATTTACAAAAAAGGAAATGTCTTGAAGTATGAGAAAACTATAAAATCTATGTCTCTTATTTCTAGTTTTATAAAAATTGAAAAGTCTACTCTCAGGTGAGAAGACATACTCAAAACCTAAAATAGGAAAGCCAGAACTGGAAAACCCCAATTTATATTTAAATGGCATTTAAATTTTTCTAGCAGACACTTTAAGAACTTGCTAACAAAAAATTGGAAAGATGGGGCAAGACAGGGAACACATTGCCAAAGCCAGTCTGGGTTAAAAATTCTGCAATGATCTTTGTGTTCCTTTCCATTTAAAACAAGAGAATAAGACTGGTTTTTTATTTATTTTTTTTTCTAATTCCCTTCTTTCAAGTGAATGCTCTTTCTTTAAAACAGCCTAATTTACAAGCATGGACTTGAATTATAAGAAAGTCAGATATTTAAGTTCTCAAATTAGCATTAGTCCAACTTTCTTTTCTTTCTTTCTTTTTCCTAGAGATCAAACCCAGGACCTCACACTTGCCTCATGCTAGGCAAGTTCTCTATCAATGAATTACATACCCAGACTCCAAACTTTATTTTACTCAAATAGTTAACTACCTAATGCTATCCTTTCTTATAAATCCATGAATTAAAAAAAAATCAAACTAACACACTGAAAGACTTAATTAAAAAAATAACACATGGGAATTTATAAAGATTTAACATACGTATATTTCTAAATGTCAGGGAGGAGCGTCAATTTCTTGTCCAAATGAAAAATACTAGGAAAGTACCTCAACAAAATGATAAACAGGACCGAGCCTGTCTGATCATTTTCATTTTGGCAAAAGTCAACTGACAACGAATCAGATAAACTGGCATAACAAAAGGTATAATTCTGTATTATTTTCTCCATATTCCTGAAAGTAAAAACAAAAACAAAACAGCAGCACCAAGGCCTATATCCCAGTTATGTAGAGACCAAGACCAAGGCAGGACTGCAAGTTCAAGGACAGCCTGGGCAATTTAGTGAGACCTGTCCCAAAATAAAATGAAATTGGTTGGCTGGCTGGGGGTGTAACTCAGAGGTACAAAGTTTGCCTAGCATGCATTCAAGCCCTGGGATCAATCCCTAGTACAAGGGAATGGAGGTTGGAGAGGGGAACAGGTGAATGAATGAAGCCAAGTTATCTTTTCTACTATTAAAAATAAGAAATAGTCAAAAGGGGGGAGGGGGGTTAAAAAGAATTAAAAAGTTGGAGAATGTATATTATTAGATTTCAAAACTACATATATAGGAACAAGTGGATTTTCAACCAAGTTTCAAAGGCAATTTAATGGAGAAAGATTAGTCTTTGAAAAAGTAGTATTAACAAATCAGATGTCTACATGGACATGATTTTTTAACCTATACTTTATACCTTATGACAACATTAACTTGAAATGAAACAGAAACTGACATGTGTGAATTTATAAAACTTTTAAGATATAGAAAAAATCTTTATGACCTCGGGTTAAGCAAGGATGTCATCAGATTTAGGCTATAAATAAAAGTAACAGGTAAGTTGGATTTCATCAAAATTAAAAACTTCTACTATTCCAAAGAGACTATTAAGACAAAAACAGACTGGAGAAAATATTTGCAAGCCACACATCTGATAAAGAACTTCTATCAAGTCAGGTGCAGTAGCATGCACCCATAATCCCAGCTTGGGAGGCTGAGGCAGGAAGATCACTTGAACCCAGTAGTTAAGGCCAGCCTGGGCAACAGTGAGACCTGCTTTAAAATAAAAAAAATCCAGAATATATAAAGAATTGTGAGATCACAATAATAAGAAAACAACACAATTTTAAAATAGATTAAAAAATTAAGTCACTTCACCAATACACAGATATCTAATAAACAGTAAGAAATTCCACATGAAAAGTTATTAGAGAAATTAAAATCATAATGTGCATTACCACTATAAATTAGAAAGACTAAAATAAAAACAGCTGACATATGAAACTCTCATACTTAGTATCAGCAAGGATACAGACAGGAGCCAGCAATCCTTCTCCTAAATATTTGCTTAAGTAAGATGAATTTGTGTGTCCATACAATAAAAAATTGAAACAATTTTAATGCCTTTGT